ACACACACACACACACACACACACACACACACGCACACACTTCTCCGCCTCATTCTGTTTTCATTTACTCGTTCGTTATCTGACCAGCTTCAATCTTGTAGGCTACTCACTTCGTTTCTTGTAGCCCTCGAAAGGGTTTTGGAGGTTGATGCCTCGGTGAACGTGAGTTGTTTGGCTGTCTTGTCCGCAGCAGCAGAAGGCCAGCGCGAATATTTGAATGAATCAAGGGCTCGTCACCAATCGATCCTTCTGCCTTACCGCGTGCCAACACATCCAAGTTGCAGCGGGGTGCAGAATAGGTTTCCCCCCCAGTCCTCTCTTACCCCACTTTTTGCCCCGGTCTTTAGTAGGAAATGTTGTCGGTAAATGAGATGGATTAGACTTTTTCATCTTGGTGTGTTTCATCCTATCGTGTGAGCCTCCCAGCATGCGTTCACTCTATACCAGCTGTTGTGCTTACCATTCGCTGTGATCGCGAGGGCTGATGAAAGTCACTTCAAGACGAGTTAAAAACATTTTTTCCTCCAATTTTTGTGTGGAACCAATGGCGGGCATTATCGCGGCCTTTTGAAAATACCTGGCGGCCTTCTGTAAAAATCTCGCGGCCATTTTGGCTGATTAATGCGGTTAAATCGCCCACCCCTCCGCAGAATCGCGTTTTTCTGGAGGGTCTAATGTATATGTTTGGCAAGAAGCATGCAACGAATGGCAATTTCATACAAAAATCTATTAAGGATTCTTGTCTCAATGACTCTTTTGTTTAAGGAGTGACTTTTATTGGCAACAAAATAAGTACAGATGGGAACAGCTTTCCAACCTCCTTTTGCAGACATCAAACATCCAGTACAATGTTAAGGTCTGTGAAATGTTTGAGGTGTCTCCAATACATTATCAGCACCCCCATTATGGCAAGTTAATCTAGGTAAGTACCAATCGCAAACAAATGTTTTAAAAGGGAGCTGGCAGCAGGTTAGGCCTCATTAGCTCAAACCAAAACATCTATAAACGGTAGCCTCGGGGTTTCCTAAGGCGCGTAACACATCGCGAGCTATCAGGCAATCTCTTTAATTCAACAATTGTTTCTATTTAACACAAAACTGGAGTGTAAAACTATACGAGCGTTTGGATGTGCTAAGTATTTTTGATTTATCTAGCCTCGAAAAGCCATGCTACGCTGATACAGAGCTAGCAAACTGAACCCATCATTTTAAATATGAAAACGGACAGAATAATGCAGCAAAGAAAGGTGGTAATTGAGCAAACATGTTGGCCTAGTAAAATATCCTTCATGTGACCAGATGCTATATTATGGAGGGTCAGCAAGGTGTTCTTAAAACTAGCCGCTTAAAATCATGATTCAAATTCATCTCAGAGCGCATTTTGTGATTAAGCTAAGAATACTACCCTGGGGGCTGGTAAAATTCGTGAACCGATGTGGGAATTAAGCTCTGAAGGCTGTTAACCGAAGTTAGTCAGAGGGTAAGGAATCGGCTGAGTTGTCTAGGGCAAGCCTAAAGGAGAAAGCTTTTTTTTTCACTTGGAAATGGTCAAAAGTTGGCCAAAGTTGAAGTACTATTTGTGCAGTACCACAGAAAAGCTAAATAATCCTAGGAAGATTTTGGAAAGCCATAAAATCCAATATCCCACCGGTGAGAGTCCGTAACTGAGCCTACCTCCGTGCCTTACCACAGGCATCTGGCTCTAATCGGACAGGGCCACCATGTAATTGCTTTAATGAGCATTTTGTGTCCTGCGGTTCTAATGTTTGATTCTGTTTCTAACTCTGATGCTGTGAACACCCAATCGCGTGACTCTGAACAATGTGGTCTGGAAAACCCTTTCAGTTTTACTCCCCTTTTTACTGTTAATGTTGTGCATGAAAGGCCTTCAACCTAAGCTAGATCCTAAGAAACCGCATTGTATGCTGCTTCCTCTTAACTTCTCTTTTTAACCTCATCCTCTAGCACAAATGGCAATTCCAAAAGTAAGGAAGTCAGCTTATTCTTGCCTTTGCTAAAAAGGAAGCCGGAGGCAACTATTTTAAATAACATAGCCAATCTCAAAAATTGTCAGTTTTTCTGGCGAAAGGTGCTCGAACGCTCTAGTGAG